CAAAAAAAAATTAAAACAGAAAAGCACTTGTGGATGTGGAATATGTGTTTGGTACACGTGGCAAGTTCACGTGAAAATCCTAAGTAATACGTTACTTAAGTTTTTCTTTTCACTATGACTGTAACATATAGAATTAGAAGTGGAGTGTCATTTTTATCAAAAATAAAATAAAATAAAATACAAAATCCTACTTTGCATGAAACATACAGATTTATTTGACCTGCGTTTTTTTAATTTTATTTTACATAAAGTGATAATTAATTGGTAGATAATTTTTAAAAGTGACACTATTTAATTGATGGGCCTCATAAATTATTATAATAGTAAGGTCAGTTTTAGCCTTCCATATTATTCATATAGTAATTTTTATGATATTTTTTTATTGTACTATGTATTTTATTTTTATCATAATACTGATCCAGCATTTTATTTTAATACTTTTAAAATATTATTTTTAATTTGTTTCCATTAAATTAACCACTTATTACACTTTCTTTTTGTCTTTCTATATCTTAGTTTGTTGTTTATGGAGTCGTATAAAAAAATATCAATGCAATTTCTTCGACATGATTCGTCCGTAATTTTTTTTCCTTTTGTGCCCACACTAATATTTTTGTGGTTGTGTATCATTTTGATGGGTTATTTTATAATATTTATCTGAGTGGATATTTTATGAGAATTATTTTTATAAAATTATTACATAAGCATGTTCTACAATGATGAGATATTATCTGTTTTGAACCTAAATCTTCAAGATTTTGTTTTTGGTCATCACCTAAAAAGTCTATCAATCATTGAAGTATGAGTATGTTTTATGAGACATTTGTAATCCAAAAGGTCTCTTAATCATTGGAATATGAGTGTGTTTTGTGGAACTTGTTTATATCCTTACATTTTTTTTAAATAAAGGACCTAACCTTTTATACAGCGAAATATGTCTTTATATATCACATTATTAGTTATAAGTTATGAAGGAATATTTTATAAGAGTTATTTTTATAAGATTATTCCACAAACATACTTCATACTCCATAATGATGAAATATTGTCCACTTTAAACTTAAGTCTCACAATTTTACTAAACATTTTTTATAAGTTATTATTTATTTTTTTTTGTCAATGTAGGACTTATTTATACATATAGTAAGAGATTTAACCTCTGAACCTAATTAACGTGTGGTTTAGTGCATGTGATCATTTGAGATTTCGTTCATCAATGTAATAACTTGAGTTGGGATGGTGCGTATGTTTATGTAGTGGTCCTTTCTGTACCCCTCTGGCAAGACATACCTTTTAGTTTTAGGGTTTTATATACAAGACAAATGATGAAACTTTATCTGACACTTTTTTTTTTACTATTGGTTATAATTTATTAAAATTATAAATTTTTGCAAATAAATTAGGAGATAGAATATTATCCATGCACTAAAACTCAATGACAACCCTCACCTTATTGTATTGGTTGTTTAAGGTGATTTTGGAAAGAAAAAAGTAAGATAGAAAGAAATTTGAATGATTTGTTTTTGTTTGAAAAGGTTATGAAGTGGGAGAAGAGGAAAAATTTTGGTGGATCCACAATATTAAAAAAAAAAAGACTATTCCCCTAACCCAAGAGATTTTAATGGGAGAAGTGAAATGGAATATTTATCTTTCATTTTAGATTATATAAAAAAAATTTCATTGTCTTTAAACATACATTAATTGATTTTTCTCTTTTATTTGCTATATTCTTGATCTAAATAATTTAAAAATCTATTTTTTTATGTTTATTATCTATTCTCTCCTATTTCTTTCTATCCCACTATATTTGCCTCAAAACCTTTTATTATTCAAACAAAATATATAAATTAGATTTGTAAGGGATAAGTTAGGCTTAAACACGTATTTTAGGAATACGGGACCAACAATAATAACAAATTTGTGGGTAATTTTAGTTAATAATAGAGAAAGAGTGTTAAAAAAGTATCGTTATCATTTCTCTTTTATATAATAAATTATAAAAAAGTAAATTATATTTTTTGTCTCTATAATTTCACTTATTTTACCTTTTAGCTCCTATAGTTTAAACTAAATCCTTTTAATTTCTATACTTATATTTTTCAATCATTTTTAGTTCCTATAACTTCAAATAGATCTAGTTCTTATACTTGCAATTTTTTTATTTTTTTAGTTTTTGTCATTAATTTTTTTGTAATGTTATTATTTTTAGTTAATGTAACAGAAATATTAATTCAATTTTGTGTAATTAATATTAAATTTATCTACAAATCTAATAAAATATAAAGAACATATCATTTATAATTGATATAAACGACAAAGGTTTTTTTTTCTTCTTGATGTGAGAAGTGAAAAGTTCATATGAGTGACTATTATCATTTGGTTAATGATTCTTACCATTTTTGTCTATTAGAGATTTTTTTGTTGTTGTTATCATATAGATACAATATCAATATTTCATTATGAATAATATATAACTATCATAGTTAAAATAATATGTATAATGTTATAAGTTTTATCTCAATGTAATAATTATACACCAACATAAAATAAACAATTATGAGTATATGTGAGTGGCTAATTTATCATTTGGCTGAGTTATGTTATATAAAATGTTGTATAATTTTATTTTATTTTTTTATAGTTAGCATTGCTTTTTGGCTAATGATTTTTACCATTTATTTTGTTTAATGAAGAGGTGTAACTCATTCTCATTGAATTTATTCTTATAGAGGTAAAGTGATGCTTTAATACTAGATCAAAGTCTAATCCTTAGTTAAAAAACATAAGTATTAAATTATTTGAGCAAATGCATTTTGATAATTTTTACTATTTGTGTCTATTAAATAATTTTTTTATGTGATTTAAATTTATGATATATGAATTGTTACATACTAATATATATCATTAATTAGTATGTACATTCAAAGATTTTAAAATAAAATGTTTGATTCATTAATTATACGCACTCAAAGTTTTGATCTTTATTAAGATATACAAGTAAATTGTTTTAAAATGAAACATCGTGTATTTCAAAATATAACAAATTCTTTGGAAAAAAAAATCGTTATTAACCGCAATGGATTAATAATCACTCTGCAGAAATCAATATAGATAGATTCCAAATACCAAGTCTTTTACTTCCATAGAAAGTTTCTTAGTTATAGCTATTTCTTTTGTCATGACTAAATAAGATTTAAGGACAATTGTGGAGATTTATTTTCAAAAGCTGTTTTTCTTTTATAGTCAGTTGTACGTTGTAATTTTAAGAATTAATAAAGATACTATGTAATAATAAAAGAAGCCTTTCCACCATTACTTCTAATGTAATGTAATATATATAAAATAAAAAAGTCTTCCCTCCAAGACATATGATGCATAAACTCTTTTTTTTATTTTTATTATTTTATTTTGTTTATATAAAATATATTAAGCATTACACTGTACAATTAAATTTTGTGTATATTATATGCTCGTTGACTTGGTCGCTCTACATGATTGTATTTCAGTAGATCCATTGAAGAATGTAATTTAAAAAGTCCTTATTATGATAGATGACAAAACAAAGCCAGTAATGGATGAATTTTTGTCTCTTACTGAAAAAATTGTAGATACGTCTCTTATTATTTGTAGTTTTTTTTTTTTTTTTTCTGGTTTCTTCAATTCGTTTTAGAGGGTACCTGTGATTGGTCACTTTGATTTGTGTGTCAGTTAATATATTATGACATGACATTTGGACTTAATTCTGCATTAAGACACATTGGTGTCGCTTTTACAATTTTCTTGTCACTTAGTACGTATGACATGCCATTTCACTCTATATTACGTGTATTTAATAATCGCGTTTCTATGATAGTAACAAATTTAGAATAATTCAATTTTACATTAATTAGAACTAAAGTTCTTCCTTGATCATAATTTATGTTCTTCACGATGATGAGGATCTTTAATGAAGAGCTTTGGCAGCAAAAAAAAAAGAAGAAAAAAAGATGGGTTTAGGAAATTCGTACCCCATGAATCCAATATCATTCACTATTTGACTTATCATTAATAGTAAATTTTGCTATGAATGTAATTAATCCATTTTTCAAATGAAAGATAGATTCAGCCTCTTTGGCCACGGTGATTGAGTCCAAAAGATTGGATTAATATTTATTTCAGGATTCACGCTGCTTATTTGATAGGATCCGTAGGGATTAAAAAATGAGTTCAACAGAATATTTATATAGTAAAACCATACTGGACAATTTGGCCTTACTCTACTTAAGGGTTGATTGACACGTGGCATGCTAGTCCACTATTTTTATAAATAAAAAAATACTGCATATTTTTCTAATATTTCTTTATTTATATTTAAAAGATTCACATAAATTAATATACCTAAATAATAAATAAGTTTCAAATTATAATAGACTTAATTTGATTTACTGCACAAAAAAACTTAAATTTGTAACATAATAAAATAAATATATAATAATAATACTCTTTTAACAAATTTATAACACAAAAAATCTAAAATTGCATATAATAAAATAAATCAATGCATAACACACAACAATCACATATTACTCATATAATAAATCTAATATAACTTATTTAAACTAAACATTAAAAATAAAAACAACAAACATTTGACAAGCTAACAAAGCAACTTACATTGACCCGCCATTTGGCACAAGTTAAGCAAGGCGAGTGAAATAGATTAAGATGTCTAACTTGATCCACCAATTTTTAATGATTCATCAGGTCAGCCCCACCGATCTTGCCATCCCTAATTGTTGGAGAATTATTTCCTACACCTAAACAACCCACTTATACCATACCAAATGCACTCTTTTATTTCTTTCTAAATGTCAAATTTCTATAAAAAAATGTTTTTATTTATTAATGTTTTCAAAGTTGAAGACAATTTTAATTAATTTTTCGTCATTTACACCTTTCATTTGTATATTTACAACTAACATTTATTTATTGTGAAGAAATAAAAAAGATATAATAGAAAGTTTCAAAACTGTTTTATTGAAAACAGAAGAAATTATTAAAAAAAATTTGTTTGTGTACAAAAACAAAAAACAGCTATTAAAAAGACTACTAAAATATAATAAGTGATAGTAAAAACAACAAATCATTAAAAGGATAAAATTATTGTAAGCCCGGTACCTAGAACAAGGCCACAACTATAGTTGAAAATTTCTGCTACAAAATTATTGTAAGGTTTAGTTGATTAATTTGTGCTGCAACAGGACTGTAACATTCAAGGTGCATAGGAGTCCATGGCAAGCATTAATCACTCAGTAATGGCTGAGAATTTTCTTCAGCTTCATTCTGAAGCTCTTTGAACAGAAGGCAGACGTCGTTTCCAAAACTTCAAAGAATAGTCTGAGATTAAGAGAAACAATGATTTTCACAATAAACATGGAGAAAAATTTGCCACATAAAATTATAATTCTAAGAGATTATGTAGGAAAATGAGCAGATAATTGCATATTTTACTGCATGGTGTATTGGTATATTCCTATGAACTAATTAATAAGTCTACTAACACACATTATAGTGAAGGGTCTGATCGGATAAATTTCTCATAAATATTTTTATAAAAAGGCTTATGGAGCTGATGTTTATAAATGAGTAAACCATAAAAACTCTTGATATATAGTATAGCTACCTATGTCTCATCGTTTCCTCCACTATAATGAATGACGTAATGTCACGTGAAGATATTATGCCTCGGTCTTGAATCTAACTAGGTTACAAAACCTACATAAAAGAAACAAATTGGAAAATGGGCAAAAACTCGAGTTACTACAGAGCATTACATCATGGGCTGAACATAATAAAACCCCTAACATAAATTTCAAAATAAAACTAAGCATAAGGGACAGTATCAAATCAAAACATTGATAACCTCGGTTTGACGTGAATTTCAAGCACAATGTATAGGTAATGCAAAGAAAAATATTCAAGCAAACAAATAATAACAATCATTTGTATAATGAATAACAAATGTATAATTTCTCGATTTAATGCACAACCCTGGGGGGCAAGAATTAAATTTCCCTTTTGGGGAAATTAGACTAAAAGCTCCACCTATAATTTAGGTTATTTAATTGATTTTTTCTTTCTTTCTTTATTACAGCAACATTTATGTTTTAGTCAAATAATAGGTTTGACCTCAGATCAATTTAAGGCTGGACACTTTAGACCATAGTCTGATTGGATAAATTTTTTCAAAAACATTTTTAGGTGGGAAATAGGAAACAAAAATGAAACAAGTTTCTCTATAAACTAAAATTAACTAATGCACAAGTCAATTTGTAGAGGTTTTTACTTATTAGCTTCTCTAAAATCTTATTTTTTAACTCATGCATAAACTAATTTTAACTTATGGAGAAGTTTATTTTGATTTTTCTTCCTATTTTTCTCTTCTAGAAATGCTTATCTAAACAGGCCCTATGTGCAATTCTTTCTAATGATAAATGCACCTTAAAATTATCAGAAAAGAAAAAGGGAAACAAGAAGTCATTACCACTGTGTAATACATAAATATCTTCAAACATGTCTGCTAAGAAACCTTCAATAGTTGGTGAAATGCTTCTTGTGGTATATCAACAGAACCAACCCGCTTCATTCTCTTCTTTCCTTCCTTTTGCTTCTCCAATAGCTTCCTTTTACGAGTAACATCACCACCATAACACTTGGCAAGAACATTTTTCCTCATAGCAGAAATCCTGCAATAAATGTGGAGATTAAGCATGGCAGTTGGCAACATATGAACAAGGCATGTGAACAAAATGCTTAATTTTTCATCCTTTGTTTTTCTCAGGGGCCTTAAAGTCAACCTTTAGAACGGCTACTGGAAGTAAACAAGATACTTAAAAATACTGATAAAAAATATTATTTTTCATGTCAGAAGCTAAAGGTTTTACACAAGCCATCCCAGAAAGACATATTAGCAAATACTTTAAACAGAAGCTTACGTCTCCCTTGCTATGATTTTTGACCCAATGGCAGCTTGTATGGATATCTCAAACATTTGCCTGATCAAAATTTAGAGCATTTTAGCAGTGAGTTCAAACTAAGGAAGAGGCATGAAAAAAAAAGTTATTTCTTAAATAAAATACCTGTCGATGACGTTCTTCAATTTCTCCGCCAAATCACGCCCAACACGATATGCTTTTGTGTTATGAACAATGGTTGCCATTGCATCAACTGGTTGACCATTCAAGAGAATATCAAGTTTCACCAGATCAGCTTGTTGATAACTGTAGTTACACCCATTTGAATGCATTATAAGGTAGGAAGTAAGCCACTCCAAACATACAAATTTATTTGCTTATACAATTTGATGACATGACACTATGACAGCAAATAAACATAAAATAAGTAAAATTATTCATCTAAATAAATTATATGGGTATGGAACAATATATATCCCTAGGGTATCACAACATATCTGTAAAATCTACATCTGCATGCACCAGTTAATGATTCCAAACTATACATAGCCACAGTACATCATCAATGTACCAAGGCAAATAAGTGTACACAACAATAATCATGCACGAAGTTATAGGGTGAAAAAGGGAGCAGGGAACTTACTCGGAGTCCTCATAATCAAACGATGCATAGCCTGATGTTATACTCTTTAATTCATTATAAAAGTCAACAACAATTTCTCTCAAAGGCAGGCGGTACTTCATGAATACCCGTTGACTGCAAGAGAGAAACTTGAAGGATCATTGCTACAACCAGGGGTAAGTTGGTTTACAAGCACAAAAATGTATCTCAGTTTTTCCATTTTTTGTACAGGTGTCAAAGTGAGCTAACCTGACTCACACAGATTAGCTCAACATGGATTGGTATTTTAAGCAAGTCAACCCAACCCGACTCACTTTCTAGTGAACCAGAAAAATTCCAACCCGGCTCAACCTACCATGGATTGGTGGGTTAGGTAGATTAGCTCACCAAATTTTTTAAAAGTAAAAAAAAAAATTTTAAAAATTAATTACATGTTTCTATTTTTAATAAATAAAATAAAGAGTTATAATTTTTATAATTAATAAAAAAATTAATAACAAGTTTATCATTGATTCAAATGCAAATATATAAGAAAATACCAATCAAAGTTTCAAATAAAAATTACATAAAAAAACAAATATATATATATATATATATATTATCATTTTTTTTAATAATGGATTAAACAAGTCAATCCAACTCATTTAAGCTCGAACTCATTTGACTCACGGGTTAAGTGAGCCAGGTTGGAATTTAACCAAGATTGGTATAAATTTTTTCCCTAACCCAGCCCAACCCGATTCCATGGTGAGTCGGGATGACCCACCGAGTTTATCTCATTTAGACACCTCTAATTTTTTTGTAAATAATCATGCATAATGAGCATAATATCCCAATAAATCATGTCGCTTTTCATCATATATATGCATGCATTCATTAATTCATATATTAATGGAATGGAAACACAAAATTGTACCTGTCAATAAAGGAGTACTCCAACTGATGACCCCTACGCTCAGAGACAAGGGTAATAACAGGTCCCACATACCTTAAATCACCAATAAATTAAGATGGCGAACAGCAGGCTCTGAAAACAGCAAATAAGTTATACTGAGGGTTGTACAAGAGCTTACTCACTAGGAATGATTATAGTAGCTATTACTGTAGGTTCCCAACAGGCTGTCACTCGTTGCTTGGGATTAGAGGGTAATGTCGCAGGATTCTGAACTTCTAACTTGCTGAAAAGCACAGCAAGAACATTAGCAAAACGTAGTGGAACACTTGAACTTAGCCTGACAAATAAAACTTTGCTATCTACCTTCCATCAGAAAACTCAAATATATAAGGCACAGTAGGAACAGTTGAGATAATGTGAGCTCCATACTCCTGTTTCCAGAAACATAATATTTATCAACAACACACCATGCTTAAAGACCAAAAAAAAACAAAACTTAAGTACTTAGAACAGTTAATGAATTTTCCAAACAAATGGCATACATTATAAATTTTGCTCATTCCAAGAGAAATCATATTAATGATGACCATGAAGCATACATACAGTTCAAAATTTTGAAGGCATTCCATTTTCAAAAATATATCTTTGCCATCAACTTGAAGTTATCATCTTGTAACCATAGAGTGATGTGTTACCTGTTCAAGCCGTTGATGAAAAACATCCATGTGCAGAAGGCCTAAAAACCCACACCTGGGTGAACATAATTAGAGATTCCAAGTGAAGCTAAATGTTTCAATTTTTTAGAAAAACAAAATACTCATTTCATTCTTTTAATAATAGATACCAGACCTGAACCCCAGACCTAGAGCAGTGCTAGTTTCTTTAGTAATAGAGACACTGGCATCGTTGCATGTCAACCTCTCTATTGCATGATTTAGAGCTTCAAAATCAGATCCATCTGCTGGATAAAGACCAGAGAACACCATATGTTTTGCTGGCTTGAAACCTATAGTTTAAAATTATTAAATAATTTAGAAGCAAAACATTTAGGAGCAAGACATGCCCCCATATATACTAAAAACAAAAACATCAGCAATTGTTGATCATCTAGGTACTTGTTTTATACAGGAAAAATAATAATGGTCAAGAATGATATTAATTCATTCTATTAATCTATTTTCAGCAAGTCCATTACCTTGTACCTACCAGTGCTGCAAGTGTGAATGAGGTATGCATGATTCAAGAGATTCTATGTGGCAAAGAACAGTTTGAATAGCCTACATGCATGGGTCTGAGTTGTTTGACTATACCTGGAAGAGGCTCTACAACACTTCGAGTATGGTAAATTGTATCACCAACACGGGCCTCTTTGGTTGACCGCATGCCACTTACAACATAACCAACTTGTCCAGTAAGCAAGATTCCAGTAGGTGTAAGTTCAGGATGCATGATGCCTATATCTAAAGCTTCATATGACTGACCAGTAGCTGCAGCAGAAATCTTATCCCCCTTGCGCAGGACACCATCAACAACAGCAACATGGCATATTACCCCTCTGTATTCATCATAATAAGAATCAAGTAAAAGCATGCGTAGAGGAGAATCACTCCTCCCAGGAGGGGCAGGTATGCGCTCTATGACTGCCGGAAGGATTTGCTCAAGACCCTCTCCAGTTTTAGCAGATGTTAGCAATGCATCACTTGGGTTGAGATCAAACATCGATTTCAATTGGGCTTTAACACGATCCGGATCAGCAGTAGGCTGATCAATCTTGTTTATAACAGGCACAATTGTCAGGTTAGACTCAAAGGCAAGGTAAAAGTTAGCAACAGTTTGTGCTTGAACTCCCTGAGCAGCATCAACAACCAAAAGCACACCCTGACAAGCTGCCACTGACCTTGACACTTCATAATTAAAATCAACATGTCCAGGAGTGTCAATGAGATTCAGCAAAAAATTAGGTGACTCCTTTCCATCACTGCAATCATCACCGTTTACGCTGTGCTTATAGAACATTGTTGCTGTCTGGGCTTTAACTGTGATTCCTCTTTCTCTCTCCACCTACGACATTTTAAACATCACTCACTATGCAGCACATGACACACACACACACACAAAACATATTAAAAAAAAAAATTCATTCTTTAATTTCCATACATTGTCAGTCTAGAGATTCTTACAATATCAATTAAAATCACCATATGTATAACTTTCAGAGTAATTTCCATAAACATGCGTAACTGTTAGTTTAATTTCTGTGATAGGGACAATATTTTTACTATATTAATTAATCGAAAATCATGATAGGTATACTTTTAAGGTAGTTAAGGTGAAAATCAACACACTTATCATTCATGGCATACACAAGAGTGTAAACAACAAACATATTATATTTGTGATTCGAAGCTAGTGTAAATAACTACATAGACTATTTACTCTTACTACAAAATTTAACATAAGTAACATACACAAGAATGGACGTGTTTCTAGAAGCACTTTTAGAAGAGAAAAATACGAAGGAAAATCAAAAAAATAAGTTTCTTCATAAACTAAAACTAACTTATACATAAGTTAAAAATAAGATTTTCGATAAGATAATAAGAGAGAACTTCTACAAATTAGTTTATTTAACTAATGTAAAAGCTCATTTCATTTTTCCTTCAAATGCTTCTGGAGAAATTTATCCAACTAGGCTCAATCTGTGCTTGAATGAGGAAAAAAAAAAAAAAACATTTACACTATCGAAGCATTCAATTTAATTTTTTTTCATCTTTTCAAGCAACCCTTTGTCTCATTCTACCTCACAGTTAACCCAACACTATCAATTTTGGACAATACCCATTTTACCTAACATTGCAAAAAAGCACACCCAGATGAAAAAATTGAAAATTTTGAGCTACAAAAAGCACCTGCAGTTTATCAAGATACTGGGGTTGGCCATGGCCTTTCTTAATGGTTCCAGTGAGTTCTAGAAGGCGGTCAGCAAGGGTGGACTTGCCATGATCCACGTGTGCAATGATTGAGAAGTTTCTAACGAGTTCTGGAGGGTAATGGCTCAAATCGATGATGCTTTTCTCTCTAGTGGTGCTGTTTTGGCGTGACTGGGAACAGAACAGTGCTCGGGTGAAAGAAAAGCGATCATTGGTTATTCTGTTGGTTATTGGGTTGAAACTGAAATTGCGCAACAACGATAGGTAATTCGATTGCCTCAGAGTTTTGGAAGCTTTGCTCAGATAACCCATTTCAGGGTTTTGGGGAAAACTGCGCTGTGCAGAAGAATGCAAGAGAAAACCATGAAGTGTGCTCGATTTGCTTAACAGCGACGTCGTTTTGGATCCAAAGGTATGAGTATTGGGCTGGGCTTTCATGAGACTTGGGCTATGTAAAATTGTTTTTAGCACCTCTGTTTTTGCTTATACATTTTTTTTTCTGTGGCTATGGTATTTAATTAACTATTTTTAATAATATCTGTTTTTACAAGGACATTTTTATTAATAGAAGACTTTAATCTAAAACTTACATCGAATGCTGTACTTGTTCTGCTATAAATCTACGTAAAAATATTATTTGATTTTGATTAATTACATACGGTATAATCTTTCCTAATAATATTATAAAAATAAAATAAAAATCGAATCTATGATATACTGTTAGCCCATGCAAAGAGGCAACGATCTTCTGAGCACACACAGACACAGACACATTAACAGAATCACCACTCAGTTGATTCTTTGCATTCTCCAATTGGATTCCTTCCTTCCTTCCTTATTCCTGATGACCTTCAAACCCATCACCACTCTCCTCCTCTTTCTCCTCTTCGCCTCCGCAATTCCCCATTTTGCCCTCGCCGGCAAACGCAAGGTCCACATCACCGACGACTTGGACGACGTGTTCGACGACGAGGAGGACGACGCGTGGAAGGAATGGGGCAAGAAACCCGCCCCCTCCTTCGCTCCCTCCGATTTCACCAAGCTCGATCCATCGCAGATCCAGGAAGAGATGAAGAAGCGCCACGTCGGACCCCTCATCGGATTCGTCAAGCTCCGCTTCGGGGCTCGCCGGACTCCGGTCAGAATTTTTACCTTGTGCCCATTTGTTGATTTGCTTGTTTGGTTTTGAATTTTGGTTAAATTTCTGTTTTTTGGGTCGTTGGAATGATGGGGTTGTGTTGAAGCTGTGATTTTGCTCATACGGAGGTTTTTTTTTTTTTTTTTTAAAGAGTAAACTACCACTTTCAGATGTGAGTGTTGTCAATTTAGTCACTACTTTTGTCCTTGAATCTATAAAAATGTTAAAAAAAAGTTTTTAAAATGTTAAATGAATCTTTAAGCTTAACTATTTATTTTTTTACTATGTACTTACATCGATTCAGGAACTAATATGACAATGACAACACTTTCCTAAATTCAGGAACCAGTGAGTGTATATTTACTTAACGAAAGGTTGAATTTGAATTGTAGTGGTGATTTCTGGTTGTTATGAATGTGATTAATGGGATTTGGTGGAAAGTGGTGAGTGAATTTGCTTATACCCGTTCAAGTATTTCTTTTTTATTTCTTATTTGAGCTTGGATTTAGCTAAGCTTATGGTCTGATAACCCTTCTTTGTTGGAAGGTCTCACATTCACTTTAGTAATTCTTGGGCTGGATAAAGTAAGGGGGGGGGGGGGGGGGGGGGGCTTGTCGATATCCCAATCATGGATCATCTACAATAAACTATGAGCATGTCTGAATACAAATCAGAAATGTTTTTGAAAGTTTCACTATTAAAAAAAGCTCTTAATTTTCGATAGAAAAATTCTTAAAAGCACTTTTAAGCTTGTATCCAAATAAACTCTATATGTGAATAATATCCCTAAAAGGTTGGTCTTTAATGGAACCTAGTGGCATTTTGCCATTCATGTAGTTGAGAATTTGGAAGAAGGTTTTTGCTGTTATTGTGGTGGTTGTTGTTGTTGTTGTATTTGAGCTTAAATTTAAATCAAATTGAATATTAAGTACCATAACCATTTTCCATTTTTATTGTAGGATACGGTAGCTGAATTTGCCATGAAATGGACACACGTTCTGCGAACTGGAGCTGTTGGAGTAAGGTTTATGGCTGTTGATCTCAGTACAATCATGTTCAACTTGGAAAGCATCAAAGACTTGGAGGAGGTATGACTTGCCTTTAATTTTTCTGTTTTAATTTTTTTTTAAATATAAGGACCAAAATTAGAAGAAGCCACTTGAGTTTTTAATTTTGAAAACCAACAATCTGCTATTATGTTCTTAACCTCCCTTCTATCATGTGTCAGTTGAAGGAATTTGTCTTGGACCAACCAGAGGCATATGAGATTAAAATGGGGGATCAATTTTTTCGAAGACCCGGAGATCCACCTCTAGATGAAGTTATTGAGAGCCTCAATAGTCAGAAAGGCAAAGCAGATAATGCTGGTCCAGAGGAAATTGATCGAAATGTTAAAACAGAGTTGTAACTAAACGGTATAGAGATAACTCTCTAGAAGTTGAGATAAAGCAATTCAGCTATTGAATCACTTCTTTTCGGAGATTTACAAGTCTTGTTAATGTCCTCCTCACTTACAACTTTTTTTCTTCCCTCTCTTTTAATTAAGGTGATAAACTACTTTTAAATGCCAGTGAAGTAGTAATCATTGAAAATACTTCTTGATGGGAGAAATTTTGATTAATTTCTTTTTGAAATTACTGTAAATTTTTTTATCTTGACCAAATTATCATTTCTAAGGGAACCAAACAGTATTTGCTTGGCTTTTCAAATAAAACAGTTATTTTTTACATAAGATTTTAGGGGAAAAGAACTTTATGTGTAATTACAAAGGATTTGATCAATGTTTGGGGTTTATACCTCTCTTCTACAGTATCTTGAAAATTCAGCAGTACCAAATCTCCTTATTTTGCTAAAAAGATTTTGACCATATGAAATTATAATTTCTTTCTCAAACTAGTTCTGACTATGAATCACCTGATAATATGTACTCTGTACTCACATTCATGATGTAGCCACAATTTTGGTATTTAGAAAAACATACATATGCCATGTTTTTAATGTCAATTTTCATGTTGCTCGTGAGGAAATAAAAATAAGAGCTGCAGGATTTGAATGTTATATTGTTATGGTAGTTTTATACAGCGACAGTTGTAGGACACGTAAATGCAGTTTAACAGAATCAATAATGATTGTTGCAAGTATATTAATAGAAAGTCACAAGGAATTTGTCATTGTTCATAAATAAATGAGATGGAAGAAATTATTTAATACAATGATCGACAATTCAAAGTAGACAGGCTACTATTTCAGCTTCGTACTGAAGTCAGAGAGCTCAAGAAGTTGAATCCTGGGGTTGGCTGCTGCTTCTTCTCTCTCTTTTTGAGTGTTGAAACCCCAATTCACTAATTCAAACAATCAAGCTTAGCAAATGTACAACTATAAAATACAAATAATGCTAAATATCGAAACTGATAGAAACAAATATCGTAGAAATTACAATGAGATAGAGATAAGAATCCTACCAAGATATAAATTCCAGTTATCTAACTCAGGCTCTTTGATGACATTCTTAAGGGTTGTAAGCCTATCTTCCACAAAGCTGTTTAAAATTAACTGAAACTGAAGTTAATTTATCCTAAACCACCTTAACAAGGAACTACAATGATTTATTAAATAAAATAACGTCTGAAAGTACAAAATCTTAACTGTAGTGTGAGTCCTTGGTGTTCCGGCATTTTCTGAAGCTTTTTGAGCACTTCTACCTTGGGACTGTAGAGAAAATAATAGTTTGGGAGAAACAAAATTGGCATTCAAATGAAGCAATAAAAAGAAAAGAAACATAATGAAGTATTGATATAGTGCACCATAACACCTTAATTGGACAAAATATATCAAAATACTAACCCAGTTCCTAGACCATACAATCTATCTGGTGGTATAGTCACTCCAGCAAGCTCTCTTAGTAAAGCATCAGCAAAGCGGCCCTAAACCAGAGCAAGTGAGTAGATGACGCAAAGGGATAAGGGCATGGCAATATGAAATTCCAAATTGTGCCTTCAGTGAATCAGTAGATTCAGAACAATGGCTTATGGCCTTTTTGGTTTGAGAAATGTTGTTTCCGTTACTTTTTGTACAATTTTTTAAATTAGGAAACTAAGTGAAATTAGGGTGGCATTTTTTATTTTTCTAATTCTTTATAAAACAAGAAATGAGTACAGAAAACATTTTTCTCAAATCACACAGGACCTTATTTTTCTTCCCTTCCATTCATTTTCCTTTGTATTGAAAATAAAAGTAAAATTTATTAACTCTGTACTTAGGGTTCTTGTCTTTGAGCTGGAAGCAAAGAGATTAAGAGAGAAGGTCATACCTGTTTTGTGGTGACAATATACACTTTTGAGCTAGAAAATCTTAATGCATCAGCAGTTCCAGGATAGAGTCTAGAGGTAAAGCAACCACCCACAAATTAGTAACCAAGATATATTTATTCAACCAGCAGGTGCAGAACAGCAGCAAAAGCTCAGGATGTCTATTAACAACAATAATTCTATTTGAATATAAATTAGAAGTGTTTTTAAAAGCATCTCTATTGAAATTTTTTTTTCTATAAAAACTTTCAAAAGTTCCTGTAAATTTGTATTTAAATAGACTTTATACATGTTTTTTATGTAAGCAAGTACTTGTCATATCTTGCTAGAGCATTTCTAAAAACTGAACATCTATGCTCAATGAATCACTAACTATTATTGCTGTAATTTTCTCATGATTCATCAAGTATAAATATAACAACAACAATAATAATATTAATAAAATATGATCACATTTCATGACATTTGATAGTACTACCTGTTTGCCCCCATCCAACCAGTGAAATCCGTCTCCAACCATTCATCTCTGACCTTCCCAAAAAGATCTATCAGTTCTTCTCTATTCTCACTCCATTCTTCCATAATAATGGGCTTCAATTTGAGCCAGCTCTCCAATATATCATCTACTGTGAGCCCCTCCGCAACCTTTCAGAAGAACTATGACTTCAGTCAAATGGCATCATCAAAGATGAAGACAAAGTTCCTTAGAATCTGATAATATGACTTCCACTTTTTAATTCATGATAAAATCAAAGTCAAAGGCTTGCACCAAAATATAATAATAACAAATAAATAAAACCATAGGCTTTATACCCACCGAAGACTTCCTTATGGATGGAACTCTCGTCTCAAGAAACAACCTCACAAGTAAAAGTGTTTCATACCCAGTTTCCACCACTGGCCGTACCTGACATGAAAATGAAAAAAGTTTGAGTCCATATCTAACCTCTCATGTGTAGAAACTAGAAAGAAGAGAAATAAAATCAAGATTATCAAATTGAAATTCAAATCATGAATCGCAAAGCTAATCTTAAATCATTAGCTAGTTTTTGAATTGTAAATCATGATTTGAATTGAATCATAAGATTAAGAGACAATGAAAAATTACCTTAATACAGATGATATATGTATGGGGTTCAATATAAAAGTTTTAAACTAGAAACAGATAAAAACAAGTTAACCATAACAAAAATTCTTATAAAACAAAATTATTAGTTATTTGTGAAACCTTTATTTTTTAAGAATGGAAATGAAACAATTAAGTAGCCAAAAAAAGTGCTTGTATTGAATTAGTGAGTGACAAATAAAATTGTGGAATAATCAACAATGAAAAGGAAATTGCCCTCCATATTTTTCTTTATAATGAGAAGGAATGAAATTTTACTTCACATCTACAAACCAGTCGTTGATGTAATGCGATTCTATGGTCACTTGGTTGGAGTTTTCATTTTCATGTTTAAAGTTAACATCATTTGTCATTGTTACAATTAGGAGTTAACAAATGGTTAATACTTCATTCAAACATCTAAAATTCAACTAAATACATCCTAAGAGAAATTAAATCATAAATTAACATGAATATTAATAGTTTCCACAAGTAAATTCCATCTTGTTTCTTGTTTCCTTTTTTATACTACTACTACACACCTAAAAACTTATTAAAAGGTGCTTTCAGAAGAGCTTCTGTGAACTAAAATCAGTTGCTTATGACCTTTTCACTAGTTCTTTTTAACTTATTTCAGTAAACTTTACAACCAAACATATGAAGAAACTACCATTTTACAAGAGATTGTGAATAAGTACTCAATTAAGTTCTTTATCCAAGCACTCACAGCCTGTAAAGTTAGAGTAGAATAACCAACAACTACACAAAACAAAACCAGCCATAAATTATTTACTGTAATCATCTGGTCAACAATCCAATCGTCTATGGTTGAATCCACACCATCAAACAGGGAAGGCCATCTCAACTTGGCAGCCTAAAAATCACCAAACAAAGTAATTACAGCTGAGTTTTGAAATCAAAATGTGTGGACTGTAAGTGATCATCAATTCATCAGAAACTTTCAATTACTTTCTGTTATTTTCTTCCATTTTCTTGGTAATCAAATGGAGTAGAAAGATGGTGAGAGAGCATAAACCTTGAGAGCAGAGATAGCTGTCTCTTCACAGGTATTACAGATAACTCCATCAAAGTCCAAAGCATAGAGATGGCCCATTTGCCTTTCTTCCTTTCAACATTGCCAAACTTATCCCAACATATTATATATTGCATGGTATGCAATTACCCGCCATCCAAACCGGATTGAATTCTGTGATACCATCATTGAAATCAAGACACGTGCCTGTCTAGCTATTTTTTCTTTATTTTTGTCATTTTATCTGTTAATAGTGTTAGCGTGACTATCTTTATGTTTAACCATATACTAATATATTATTTTTATGATATAAATGTGAGATCTTAAAGCTCGTGCTATATATACGAGTGGTCCAAGATTTTTTGTATATGAACCGAATATTGAAATGTTTTAGTATAAACTTCAAAAGAATGTATACATATTTTTGGTGCATAACTGAGTAATTGACGCGTCTTTGAAGTCATTTAATACGAGACAGGTGAGAGCGTACCTATAAGTGTCTCTGTGGCTGATGGATGCCACAGAAAAGTGCTATGACGATGTTTACATTGGTTCTATATTAGATGTGATTCAACTATGTGTTAAAATTACATTGGATAGATAGTTTGCACGTCAATTCAAAGCTGTTTTTCAAACAAACAAGGCAAATATTCGTTGCATATTTTAATTGCTAAAAGAAAAATGGTTACATTGAAGGATGATTTTGTTAGCATTTGAATAAGTTTCAGATGAACATCTGGAGTACTGTTATGCGTTACTTCTTTTTAATCAGTAATGCTCAACCTGTTTCAATACACAAAACAACACGTATTTTGTGATCTGCACACTACAAGAAGGACGCATTTGTGGCTAAGACTGCTCCATTGGATAAGGAAAGCCCCACTTAAGGATGGAATATGTAACATACAACGCTGGAAATATTTCCGTAATTTATCCCTTTTATCTATCACACTTAAATTAGTAACACGTCAATGAAGAAATGCAATTAATATCCTTATCTCCTTAAAATTATTTGTAAACTTCCAACTATAACCTTTATTGTTTTGGGTTTCATCCATCCTATTTGGGCATAAGCTGAACAAAATCATTAGGAACAACCCTCTAGCACTTGATTTACACGCTTGGTAGCTTTCTATTTTTTTTATTTGACATTTATCTCTCCTCAATAGTGATATGATAATTCATTATTACTTGAGATTTACTAAGTGACTTGAGGATTGATAAAGTCATAATTAAGGTCCTCTTGGACTTTTAAAAGGACATTAAATAGTCATAATTTTTTTACCAAGTAGACAAATAAAAAGGAACAGAAAATCAGAAATAGTATTTAGTTTCTAAAATTTTCAGCTTATGGGAGAATGAGAGGAAGAATACACTACTTGGTTCTATAGACAGTTGATTTAGCATATGTACTTTTACTGGCGCTAAAGGAACCTTTTGACTAGAACATTGATATAGAACTTGTCTGACACTTCTCAAGAATTTCAGCAATTTTCACTTCCTCTAAGGGTACAAATTACTGTAACTTATTACTTTGGTCCACCCTATTCGGGTTCGAACTGGGCAAACCAGTAAAGACAACAAAGCCCTCCACCGAATTACTGCAGTTTACAAGACCAAAAGGAGGGGATTTCTGAGTAGAAAGATTGTGTTTACTAGAAATTTGTTATTGCTTATAAATGAGTTGGAAGAAAATTATTTGGTTCAATGATTGACAGTTGACAATCCAATGAAGACCCCTACTTTAACTTCTTGCTGAAGTCAGAGAGCTCAAGAACATGAATTCTGGGGATAGCTGCAGCTTCCTCTCTTTCTTTCTGGGTGTTGTAACCCCAATTCCCTGATCCAAAAATCAACCTTATCAAGTAAACTAAACAATAGGGGCAAAAAAACACGATAATGCAGATGGGAACTAACACAAAATAAGGGACGATGCATAAATCATAAACAGGAAGAGAGAATTAATTACCTAGGTACAAATTCCATTGGTTTAACTCAGGCTCTTTGATGACATTTTTTAAGGTAGCTAGCCGATCCTCAACAAAGCTGGTTAAGATTAACTGGAGTTAATTTCTTGTGAACCATCTTTACAAGCAAGATCAGAGTTCTATTCATATAAATAGCCATAACCAAAATGCCATTATTTACAGCTAAAGCACAATATCTTACTGTAGTGTCAGTCCTTGGTGCTCTGGCTTTTTCTGAAGCTGCTTCAAAACTTCTACCTTGGGACTGTTAGTGAAGTTAAAGATAGTCCAAAAATAAATAAATTTCCTATCAAAATAAAGCAAGAAAAAGAAAAGACAACAATATAGTTATAAAAATTCTAAAGCATTACTTTGCTAAAATATACTAACCCAGTTCCAAGGCCATATATTCTTTCGGGTGGTATGGTCACTCCAGCAAGCTCCCGTAGTAAAGCATCAGCAAAGCGGCTCTGAAATAAGAGAAATAGGAGGGTGAGGGAATAGAATTGTAGAAAACAAATGGATTAAAGGGCATGATGAAAAATTGATAAAATGAACTTTCATGGTATTGGGACAATGCCCATTATCTTTGTCCCCTCTTATTTTGCTTAATATTGAAAATAAAATAATCTACTGTTAGGATTAGGATTATTGTCCCTTGCTAGGGCAAAGAGCAAAGGTTACCTGTTTTGTGGTGACAATGTACACTTTCGAGCTTGCAAATTTTAACGCATCAGAAACACCCGGATATAATCTAATGACAAAGCATTGCCAATCAATAATAGGAAATCTCATCATTCATGACATGTGCAAACAATAAAACAGAAGTATCACTGCATAAAATGATTTACAAGATGTAATTATTCAGTCAACAGAAGTACAGCAAGATCCCAACGTGCTTAATGTAATAACATTATCTAGTCAGAAGCATAACCAGAATTCAAAGCCTGACATAAACTGGTTCCTTCTGGAATATTATCTGTAAAGGGACTTTCTTGAACAGAAAGGAAAGTGTTTTTAAGAAAAATGACACATGTCCTACTTCCCCAACCTTCTGTCAAGGACCTTCCATTTTCAGCTCAGTCAAGTAGTTGGCTTGGGATACTAACATATGTTCAACATTACACTGGCAATTTATATAAAGTGGAGTGCTAGAAAGTAGAAACTCACAAATTACAATATAATTTTATTCGATACAATCCTTCCTATTCACTAAATTTTATTGAAAATAACCAAAAGTATGAGTGAAACTCATTAAAACAGCAAGTGAGACCTGCATCATTTATAAGTCCCAAAAAATATTGCTAGCATTTCCCATTATATAAACTGAATGTTCATGGCCACGTGCTTAAGCTATCTTGCCTAATGCTTTAGGTTTCTCATCATGCATCTGGTATAAATATATGTATCAGAAGTTAGTCCCTTGTCAGGAAGTTTGATTGGACTACCTGTTTGCACCAATCCAAGTAGCAAAATCCTTCTCCAACCATTCATCTCTGACCTTTCCAAAAAGATCTATGAGGGCATCCCTATTCTCACCCCATTCTTCCATAATAATAGGCTTCAGCTTGGACCAGTTCTCCAGTATACCCTCAACTGTGAGCCCCTCTGCAACCTTGCACAAGCACTATGACATCAGTCAACAGGTCCAGAGTCCATTTTAGTTATTTGAAAGCAGATGCAGATTCAGGCCACTAGCATCATCATAAATTATAATCCTAGTTCCAGTTACATGATTTTCAATTGCTCATAAGTAACAATTAATGATAAAAATCAGAGCCATAAGCATTTTACCCACCGAAGACTTCCGGACAGAAGGTGTTCTGCTCTCAAGCAACAATCTCACAAGTAAAACATTTTCATATCCAGTTTCCACCACTGGTCGCACCTGACATGAAAAAACAATGGAAGTTCATCTTTAAAAAGAAAACAAGTCCAACATGCTTCCATATAGCAATAGACTTGATATTGAAAACACTTAAAAAAACTTACATAAAAAAAATTCAGAACATCAAATAAGTTAATGATCTGCAACAGAAATCTATGATTGAAGCAAGCAAGAAAATTTAATCTATTGCCCTCAATATAAAAATGTGAGAACAATAGCCACTAAAAACAAAGTATGTAAAATGTATTTTCCTCTCATTGCCTTTAGTGTAAAGAAATAAAATATATATATATATATACTTTATGGCCCGTTTAGATAAACTTCTCTATAAGTACTTATAAGAAGAAAAATAAAAGGTAAAAATGTAAAATGAATTAAGTTTTCCTTATAAGCTAAAATTAAGTTATGCAGATGAGCTTTTAGAGAAGTTAGATGAGAGAGCTTCTATAAAAATTAGTACATAAGTTGATTTTAACTTATGGAAGAAGTTCAATTCATTTTATTTTCTTATTTTCTTTTCCTATAAATGTTTACAAAGAAGTTTATTCAAGCATCTACTTCCATTCATCAAAATGAAATGGATTCTTGGTCTTTTTTTCCCTTAGCATGTTTACAGACAATTAGAATAATATATTTCCATTGTTCCAAATTGCCTTATTGTATAATCAAAACTGACGAATATTTGACACTTCATTCAAAATCAAAAGCCTCTAAAATAAAGTACATATAAACCCATAATCCAAATCAAATGTCTCGCAACATACATAAATAAAGTCAATCCACAAGCAAATTCAAGCCTATTTCCTCCCTTCCTGTCATGCTTCCACTAATTATCATTATTTTCATTCAAATTACAAAACCACCAACACAGCCTAACCAAAGCATAGTCTCATGAAATTCATAACAGCAGAAGCTAAGTCAAATCAAATTATTTTACTGTGTGCATCTGGTCAACAATCCAATCTTCTGTGGCTGAATCCACCCCATCAAACAAATTAGGCCATCTCACTTTTGCGGCCTGCAAATTTCCAAAAACAGTAAATCATGAACTTGATTTTGCATTCTTATGAATTCCCAGAGAGAGAAAAAACAAACTGAAAGAAAAATGAGAAAGTATTGAAAAATTAAAATATTGAAGAAAAAAAAAACGGTTTGGGTGGAATGAAGAGATGAACCTTGAGAGCAGAGAGAGAGCTTTCACCGCAGCTATCACAAATGATTCCATCGAAGTCCAACGCGTAAAGCTCCCCCATTTCACTCTCTTCCTTTTCCCCTTTCTGTTTCACTGAAAATGTTTGCGTATTTCGGTGCCATCCAAACAGCCCCTTATTCCTCCTTCGTGGGAAATTGAAACACGTGTCCTCGTACATAGGACATGATTCGGTTCGGTTCGACATTTTGAAATGGTTCAATAAAAATAACATTTTCGTGAATTAAAGGTTAATTTTAATTTAACTTTAAATTTTTTATTTAATAAAAAATAGCTTTTAATTTAAGGGGGGAAAATTCTTATAATTAAGGAACTATAAGTTATTTAAATCTAAAATTAGTTAAAAAAATCTTTAAATATTAGATTAAAATTATATCTAATGGTTATATTAAAATTATATCTAATGGTAGGGGTGAGCAACGGGTGGGTTTGGTCGGGTTCGGGTGAAAAATGTCAAACCCGTTGTAAACCGGCTTTGAAAAAATGTGACTCATATCCGACCGACTGAGCTTTCGATTTGAGGCGGTTCGGGTTGAAACGGATTCGGATTTAAGCGGGTGGGTATAATCGGGTTTGAATTTTTTTGTAGACCAATTTATCTTAACAAAGATGAAGCTTAAAACGATAAAAAAATATTTTTAAAATAGTGTATAAAAATAGAATGAAGGTGACAATAGATGGTGTAAATAGATTCGTAGTTGAAACATTTACAAACTAAAGAAGCAAAAATAAAAGATAACAAAATTCATAGTTGTTACATGGAAAAGAAATATAAAGTTAGATTACAAAACCATAAGAAATCACAGTCACACAAAATGTACTCAAAATGGAGATAAGAAGATGGAAAAGAAAGACAAAGAAAGAAGCAAAAAGATAACTCTAAAAATGGACTAGTGTGTTGAGAAGTTGAATGAGGAAGGAGAAGACAAAATAAATATCTAAGTTATGAGAAAAAGGAAAAAAATAAGTTACAAATTGATGGCTATATTATACTTGAAATAAAGACTTTTAAATTTGGACCATTGTTGTTTAGTTATACAAAAGTAATAAAAATTTAAACTTATCTCATTTTCGGTTGGGTTCGGTTTTTAGCGGGTTTAAAAATTCAAAACCGAACCCGCCCAATATAACCCGTATAAAATCAAAATTTTAACCCGATTTACCCATAAGACCCGCCCGAACCCACCCAAAAACAATATTTTTTTTCGGGTTTTTCGGGTTCGGTTCGGGTGTCGGTTTAATGCTCACCCCTAGAAGTTGAATGAGGAAGGAGAAGACAAAATAAATATCTAAGTTATGAGAAAAAGGAAAAAAATAAGTTACAAATTGATGGCTATATTATACTTGAAATAAAGACTTTTAAATTTGGACCATTGTTGTTTAGTTATATAAAAGTAATAAAAATTTAAACTTATCTCATTTTCGGTTGGGTTCGGTTTTTAGCGGGTTTAAAAATTCAAAACCGAACCCGCCCAATATAACCCGTATAAAATCGAAATTTTAACCCGATTTACCCATAAAACCCGCCCGAACCCACCCAAAAGCAATATTTTTTTCCGGGTTTTTCGGGTTCGGTTCGGGTGTCGGTTTAAATGCTCACCCCTATCTAATGGAAACTAAAATAGTTATCAAAAGGGATATTTCCTTTATATAATGGTATAATCTCATCTTATAATATTAGTTAGGTCTAATCCAACTTTACAAAATCGGTTTGTAGAACAAGACTTTGATATCATCTTAAGAAATTAAGTTATGAGTTTAAATCAAACCTATAAATTGACTTATAAGGTAAAGATTGTTCTCTACTTATGTACACTGTTATAGTCTTATCTTTAGTCAATGCAGAATCTTCAACATTCCCCCCATGCTAAGGATTAAACATTTTAAGTGTGAAGTTTGTAGGACTGAAAATCTATAGGTGGTTCGATAATGGCCTAATTGCGGATGGTTTGATAAACCCAACAATAATCAATAATCCATATAATAAGTTCTAATACCATCTTAAGAAAGTGAATTAAGAGTCTAACTAAACTTAGAAAATCGACTTGAAAGGTAAGGATTGTTCCCTATTTATATACAGTATTATGACCTCATTTTTAAACAACGTGAGATCTCTAACACATGTCCCTCATGTCGAGGACTAGACATTTCAAACATGAAGTTTGCAGGACTAAATATTTGTAGGTGATCTAATAACAACTTGATAGTGGGTGGTACAATGGACCCAACAACGATCATTAAGTGGTTTTGATACCATCTTAAGAATAAGTTATGACACTGTTAAAAGTAAATGTGTTTATAGTGACATGACACAGTTAAAATATATAATTGGTTGTCCGTGTAAAAAAACTTTACACTGACAGTATATAGGTGATTAACTCTACTTATTTATAATTGATGTGAAATCTCCAACACACCCCTCACACACCCAGGATTAAACATTTCAAGTGTGGAGTTTGTAGGTGGTCCTATAACAAGCCGACAACGGGTGGCACGATGGGCCCAACAATAATCATAAGATAGGTTGTGATATTATCCTAAGAAAGTAAGTTATGGGTTTAACTCAAGCCTACAAGCCAATTTAAAAAGTGAGGATTGTTGACACTTATATACATTATTATAATCTTATCTTTAGTTAATGTGGGATTCCCAATACTCTCTCATGTTGAGGATTAGACATCTCGAGTGTGAAGTTTATAGTACTAGACATTTACAGGTGATCCGATAATCACCTAATTATAGATGGTTTGAAAAATCCAACAACAATTAATAATCCTTAGGATATACTTTAATACTATCTTTAAAAAGTGGGCTAAGAGTCTAACTAAACTTACAAAATTAACTTGTAAAGTAATGATGTTCTTTACTTATATAGTCAATTGAGTCTCCAACACTTATAAGAACATGTTAAAGCCACTATTGTCATATTAATTGCTGATTAAATTATGATTTATGAATGCTAAGTACATACTCTACATAATACACTATCTTTTGACTATATATGAAATAAAATATAGTATGCAAATGAGTTAAGTTATATTATGTTTGACCTAATTTGAGATTCAACATAATTGAGTTATATTAACTTAAGTTTATACATACTTACACATATATATATATATATATATATATATATATATTGAAGTAATTTAACTCAACGTTAATCAATTTGGATTGACTTAGATAATCGAACCAAATAATTAAAATATCCATATATTCTTAATTTTCTTAAGAAATCTAAAAAATATAATTACATGTATCAAATAATATTAATATAAATTGTATGATAAACATATGTTTCAATTAAATACATAATTAATATTTTACTATTAATATTAATTTTTATTTGGGATGTTGAAGCCAAAAATTCATTAATCCGTTATTTAATTTAATTATAATTTTTTCAAAAAGTATTATAATTAAATCAATTAGAATATATTTATTCAATTAAAATGTAATTTGATTTAATCGAATTGCTCCTCGTCGTGGATTGATTTTCCTTTGCTTACACCCCATAATAAAATTATCATATACGAAAAAAGAAAAAAGTGGATGAGGGAATAACAAAAGAATTGATATTTCTTTCCTTTCTCCAATCTTTGATACCCTATCACCTTTTTTTGTTTCTTCAAAAAGCAAGTCAAGTTAATGCGTGAAGCTAGATGAGAAAGGACTTATTCGGAC